ATTTGGAATTGGGATAACTGTTAAATTGCCAGATTGGTCTTTGTACTTAATGGTACTAAATCTCTATATATGAAAGAGTAGTGAAATAACTGACTGACTGTTCAAATCAGATCAGATGAAATGATTGAAGGTGGAATCTTCAAATTTTGCACGAGAATCAGTCTTGATGCGTAGGCGAAAAGAACTAAAATGTACCACATTTGGTACCATTTGGAATGGGAATCAAGGAGTAGGGTCGATATGAGGAGGTAATTTTGGAAGTGTGTACTCATTTACATACTATTGTACTGATGTGCAATAGAAGTACTACGTGGTACTAAATTTGGTACAATTTCGATCTGGGTAAACCTATAGAGCTGGAATGCTGAGATTTAGAAATAAGATTACCATTGCATTTTTTGGAAGATTGTACTAATGTATGGGAAAAGTACTAAACGGTACTAAATTTAGTACAATTTGAATTTGAAGGAACGGATGGAGATGGAATTCGGAAATTTGAGATTAACATTCCTGCCGGAGTGTTCGATTCAAATATGGAGATAGTTTTCGAAATTTGTACTTATGTGCACGAAATGTACTAAATGTTACTAAATTTTATTACAATTTCGATTTGGGTGAGCAATAATGCTAAAATTTGGAAATAAGATTTCTATTGCATCGTAGGATTGGGGTATATAAGAAGTTTTGGGAAATTCGTACTTATGTGTACTAAATGGTACTATATTTGGTACAATTTAAGTTTTGGGGGAACCAGTAGAGTTGGAATCCTGAAATTTGGAAATTGATGATAGGATATTTGGGTAGGATGGGATATTTGGTAAATTTTGTAAATTCGTCCTTATGTGTAGAAAATAATACTAAATTTGGTACAATTTAAATTTTTGGTTAACCGGTAGAGTTGGAATCTTGAAATTTGGGAATAAGATCTCTATCGTACTTATGTGTACTAAATTTGGTACAATTTGGATTAAATTTGTAACAGTTTGGTCTAGGATGACCAGATGAGGGTGGAATTTCAAAAATCGAAAAATTTGAAACAATACTAAATTTGGTATTGGATAAAGGAAAAGAAGGAAATATGGAGATGGCTTTGGAAATAAGTGCTTTAATTGTACGAAAATTACTACATTTGGTAATGAGGGAAATTAAAGAGCCGAAATCCTGAAATTCCATATTAGACCACTGTTGGAATCTATGTTTGAATTGTTCTGCAAATACATGCTATAATTGTTCAAAATGATACTAAATTTGGTACTGAGTGAAGGGAAAGAGCTGGGATCCTGAAATTTGATATTGAGGTCTCTGTTGGTATCTCGTATTAAGATATTGAAGTGGTCTTGGAAATGTGTACTGTAGTGTACTAAATAGAACTGAATTCGATATTGGCTGAAGAGATAGAGCTGAAACCGTTAAATTATATTTAAAAACATGTACATACTGGGTTGGCAGCCGCTGGCAGAAACTGGAAACTGGAATTATATTTTTTGTTAAGTGTTGGTGTCTAGATTTGAGATATGAAAAGGTTTTGCAAATTAGTACTAAAATTAAACGAAAAGTACAAAGTCTTACTAAATTGGATGGAGCTTAAATTTGATACTGAGGTCACTGATTGTTTCTAGGGTTTACATATGAACACTTTGTTTTTGTTTTTTTTTTATTTATTTTTTTTTTGAACAGAAAAATTGGATTTGAGTCCATTGTGCAATAGTTTTACTAATATCATACTTAGTAAAATTCAAAATGAAACATTTTGAAAATTTTTTTGTGAAAATGGTAAACATTTTCCAATTATTCTTTCCAAAAAAAAACTTGAATATTATATAAAATCTTGAAAGTCTGATAATTTAGTACGATGTATTAAGTTTTTGGCATAGGCTTAGGGCATACATCTGTCGAAAGAGGCCTATTTTTATACCCTCCATTATGCTTTTTCATTCCGTTTGTAACTCCTCGAAATATTCATGTCAGAACCGGTAGTTTTATGGTTTTAGAGACATTATTGTTTCATATTTTTTATTTAGAGTTCGTAATGGGTACTACAGCTTCTGACAAACGATACCTCCTGATTGATGATTTTAGCGACGTTATTCACCGAAATTGTTTCACATTTCGTATTTGAAGTTCATAATGGATACTTCAACTTATGACAGAATATTGTCTATGCAGGTCCACGTCTTCGTATACCCCACATAAACGGTACCACCGGTTTTTCGGTATTTTCGTGATATTAGCGACACTATTCAACGGAATTGTTTTAAATTTCGTATTTGAAGGTACTAATGGTACTACAGCCTATGACAAAAAATGCATATGCAGGTCCTCGTTTTCGTATAGCCCCCATATAACGATTTTCATTTGAACGGCACTTTTCGACAAGTGTAGTTCGCTTTTTTACTTGTTTTAAATTTAGACTGTCTACGGAAGGGACACCAGCGTTTTTGAACCGATAAAGTTCATCTTCGAAATTCATCCAATTTGATACAAATATTTCTATTAGCCTAGTTTTCTGCAAATCGTCATATGTATGGGAATATATGATTAAATCAAATGGGAAGAATGATTATGTGTTGCTATCTAATACATTCCAATCTAATGCATTTCAACTTCTCAAGAACTATGACAACAATCGTAGATTCTTCACAAATATTTTGTGATGAACATTACAGCTATAATCTTGGATTTATTCAGAGCTGTAAGTATTGTTGTAATGCTGAAATAAAATAATTGGAAAAAAATTATATACACAAAACATAAATGTTAACTACTATGTCTCATCTCTATTACCGGCTGCGAACATTGACTGAACAGGTATGAACCGATATTTGGTTCCCATTACAAATGGGAGTCAATTCCACGAATTTGCAGCAAGTATTTGTATTGCTTTCGAAACGTATTGAAAAGGCATAAATTTAGCTTAACATCGTTACCCACCACTAGGGTAGATGCTTATTTATTCAGGTACTTTCATGCTCGTTTATATGATGTTTATGTGTAGCTTATGTTGGTTGGTATTTGTTGAATTGAAAAGACAAGAAATTGAATCAAGTTTTTTGCTATGATTTTGTTTTTGTTTTTTGCAAAAAGTATTTTATTTCTGTAACTGGATAGCGGCATGGTGATGCGCGACATTTAAAGATTCATGTCGTAGTATTAAGAGTGGTTTGTAGTTGGATTTGTGCAGATAATAGTTTAACACGGCCCGTTGAACTGTATTAGTAATGGTGTTTGTGTCTTAAGTCTTTCGTTTGGCTTGTCGTAGAGGGCAGGCCTTGTTGCTGTTTACATTCCCTGCTGATATAAATGAAATTAAAAACAGCTTTGAACTATGGAAAAGTAATTCTGCATTCCCAAACATTTATCAAACTTTTTAGAGGATTTACATTAAATTTTTATACCCTCCACCATACTATGGAGGGTATATTAACTTTGTCATTCTGTTTGTAACTCCTCGAAATACTCATGTAAAACCCAACAAAGTATATATATTCTTGATGAGTGTAAAATTCTATGTCGATTTCCGTCTGTGTTTCTGTCCGCGTTTTCATATAGCCCCCATATAACGGTACCTCCCGATATTCGGTATTTTGACGATTTCAGCAACTTTATTCACCGGCATCGTTTCAAATTTCGTACTGGAAGATCCTAATGGGTACTACAACCTATGGAAAATAATTTCGTATACAGGCCAACGTATAGCCCCTATATAACGGTACCTCCCGATATCCGGTATTTTCATGATTTTAGCGATATTGTTTACTGGAATTATTTCGAATTTCTTATTTGAAATTCGTAATGGGTATTACAGCCGATGACAAAAATTTTTGTATGCAGGTCCACGTCTTCGTATAACCCCCATACATTTGCCCTAAAACCTAAGGCGGTTTTCATTTAAGTGGTAGTTTTCGGAATTTTTTGAAACTTTTAAGTTCCTTCAAAATAGTGAAGGGTATTAAAAGTTCGGCCCGGCCGAACTTACCTGTTTTTTTACTTGTTTTTATTTAATAATAATAACTAATAATTTTAATTATTTAAAGAATAGATTTTAAATATATTTTTTAAAACAATTTTCTCAAATAAAATACACTCCTAAAAAAAATATTTACATTTTCCATACACCTTATTCGAGATCAGTAGTTGTTTCGCTCCTAAATATCAATACATCATTTAAGCAATTTAAGCATTCGTTGCGAAGAAGAGGTAAATCAGCAGCATAAAACTGCTGTCGACAGACATGATGCTCAAAAACAAAAGTGGTGAATATTCTTATATGTGTGAACCGGCAACCACCACTCAGACACTGAGGCATGAAAACGGATCTCTCATACAAAAGTGCGCCAAAACTGAACTTTATTTTGGCATAACGGCAGTTTTGGGAGTGACCAAATGAACAAGATTTTGGAAAAAGTCAAAGGAAAAATTTCAGTACGAGATAATGAGAGAAATAAGTTTATGGTTAGTCCATCCGATATGTAAGATAAAGATCTGGAAACCTACTTAAAATCCCTTATAATAGATGGAGTACTGCATGAAAAATTGTTCCCAAAATTCTTATTTAAAGCCGTAACGGCTCATTAGAAATAATTGGACAATTACCTAATTTGTTTACCAAATTGATGGTTCATTCGAGAATTTAAATAAAAATCCTGTTTTTAACTCAGAGCAGTTTTGTAAAAAATCGACGACTTTAGTTTAAATTTTCCTTTGAAGAATTTCCTAATTTCCTCCATTATTCGAATTCGGATCTAATGTAATCATTGTTGGCCACCTCTATTATTAAATCGCACTCACAACTGCATTCGCCTAATGCTGGCGCATACAAATCGATGCCGATGGTTACGCCAACGTCTACACAGGCGTTGTGTGGTAGGTTCGGTGGCATCCGTCGCCGCTATTGAGTTGTGGTAACTGTGAGCCGCACACAATTTTTCGGTTGGCTCACAAGCAGGCGCAGTCATGCCACTATAAATAGCTTAAATAGGGCCTGTTGGCGAACAGTATTTTTTCAAATTTTGCTTTCACTCCTCGAAAACCGCAACGCATCCAAAACGGAGAGTTGAGAAAACTCAAACAAAAAGTGAAGTGACATTAAAGTGTATTTTTTAAAAAAATTCAAAAGATTTACAAATTACTGCCACAATAACTAGTGGAGATTGGATTAGAAAATAATAAATAAATTAAAAGACTTAAAACAAAAATGAAACTCGTTGTAAGTAATCAGATGGGTATTATCCTGTTGGAGAAAATTAAAAAAAAAATAATTTACCTACGACAATGGCAAAGCGTAACAAACACTCTATTTTGAAAACTATTCAAATTGGAAATAATTACTTTTTTTGCCGAAACATTTGTGAATATATTTCTACTGTGGTATTGTGATGGATTAATCCTGTCAAAAGACAAGATAAGTTATTTGGTTATAAAAATTAGTACAGTAGGCGGAACTGCAACAAAGTCAAACGCAATAATTTTTACATTTTTTTTAATTTTATTGAATGAAAGCAACAAATGTCGGAAATATCATCAAATTTTAGAAAAAGGTTAGATTTGTTCGAACTGGTCACATTTTGCACGAATTATGGCAATCAAACGGTCACACGCTGCCCGAATGTTGTTCTGCGGTATTTTGGCCCATTCCCGGCGAAGCGCTTGTTTGAGGTGATCTACACTTTGGTATTTTTGGTGCCAACCTTGTTTTTCAAAATACTTCAGACACAATGGTCCAACCGATTGGTATCCGGAGATTTTGGTGGCCATTGTGCGCTGGAAATGAAGCGAGGAACTTCATTTTGTAAACACTTTAGGTGGCGCGTGCTAAGTCCTGTTGGAATGTCCAAGGTCTGTGGCCAAATTGTTTGCGTGCCCATGGCTTTAATACACCCTCCAGAATATTTTCGCGATAATATTGGGCATTTATTTTGTTTACAAACTGCTGGACAACGAATGTTTTCTCATCGGAGAAACCCAAATTCGGCAGTTCACCACTTTCGGCCAAGTGAAGCAACTTTTTAGCTCTTTTAAGTCTATTTTCTTTCTGTTGCGGTGTAAGTTCTTGCTCTTTTTGGAATTTCAATGGCTTTACCCGAGCTCATTTTTCTATATTTTCCGAATGGAATATTGCGATATGTTCATCTCACGAGATATTTTTCTTTAATTTAAACCCTGCTGCTGCTGTTTTCTTACGTTCACTTCTTTGACGTCGGGCTACCAGTATCACGGTAACGAGCGATGGTACGAGACACAAAAGATTTATTCACATTTTAGTGCTGAAGTGCTCTTGTGGTTAAATGCTGGAGTGCCACTTGTGTTTTTCCAGTCAAATATAAAGAAATCACACTATCACGCTTGAATTCCATCAGGAATAACTATTTTCTGGAGAATTCTCACCAAAATGCTTTTGTACGCTGACAGGTGACGGACGAATGGTTGGAAGTTGGTTGCAGTTTATTTCATGTCACCTTGTATATCCTTAATCCGATTTAAGCTTTATTTTGCAAATAATGGCTAATATCAGCCCAAATGGAGTGAATTTCAGGACGTACGTTTCCATTTTGTGAAACTCGCCTTCTCGAAGTGATATCATGCGCTCTATAGCAATGTTGTTTTGTATAAAATATTAAAATGTCTCCGTCAAATTTAGTGAAAATCGATTCAGAATTGGATACGACTCCTATTTATTACTTCCTTTTGAAACCAAACTATAACTGTTCTAAGGCCAAATGTTTATAGTTGGTATCAACTTTCAAATTTCATCTCGATCGGGAAATAAATGCGACCTGTACTTGGTTTAAAAAATGGGGTTCTACGTAAATCATCAAAAGGATGTATGGGTCTAAATAGCTTCCTTCTCCATGTTACAAACAAATGCACAAAGTCATAATACCCTGACCACAGTGTGGTGTAGGGTGTAATTAGGGAATGTTTTCAAGTTTTTTTGTTATGTCTTCTAGAACTTTTAGAATTCGATGACAAAAAATTTTGTAGCATATTCTGACTTGGTACGAACCCTTTTAAGGGAAGTTTTTGACCATATTTTAAAAAATGAAAAAAAGACCACTTTGTTGTCTCGTTCGAGGATTTTAATTGGCTAATAAAATATTCTTCGTATTTTTAACTACAATATTGTCCAGGATGCTATAAACCCAGAACGCATGGATTTCGCGAAATCTTAATCCGAAATTTTCTAAAAGTGTAGAAGAGGTTACTTTGCGATGTAAACTTTCAAACGCCGATACAAGTGTCTTCTTTTCTAGCTCTACTTTCATAATCTCCTGGATAAAAACCTACTTTTAAAAGAAATGATCAAAAACATGTTATTTTACATTTTTAAAATTATTTATTTATCCATTGATTATTATCATGTCCCCTTCAAAAGAATCCCTCTTAATTCGAATATTTCATTACTTCAAGGTAGTACTCCTTAGGGGCCGTACGACCAAACTTGGTGTGCTATTTTCGGTCTCGGTAATTAACATGCATAACTCAGAATCGTAATTTTGCAGAGATCGTCATTTAAATGTTTTATAATAAAAAAAAACCCGAATGACATATTAACATGAACTTAGTGAATCAGATGTTTTTTCGTCTATTATTATCGCATTATTTATATTTTCAAATTCAAAACATTCCCCACCCTCTAACAGCTGCTAATTTATAATAAAAAAAAATAATAATTTATTTTCCCTCCATCTCATTGCAGCTATCGACCTTGTTGTGCCTGAGCTTAATGCTTATATCCTGCACAGCCATACCTCAGCATCGAAATATCAACAATCATCAACCACATCCGAATGCAAATAATATTCCACTGGATGAGAAGCCGGATCCCCGACGTGAAACCTCCACCTGGATTCCAATCCTGAAATACAACAAAGAACAAAGCGAAGATGGCAGCTACAAGACCGAGTATGAAACCGGCAATAATATAATACACGAAGAGACTGGATTCCTAAAGGATTTCTCGGAAAATAATCCCAATGGCGTTTTGGTACAACACGGCCAGTATTCCTACCAGTCACCCGAAGGTGAAACCATCAATGTCCAGTACACAGCCGATGAACGTGGATTCCGTGCCACCGGCGATCATATACCCACACCTCCGGCCATTCCCGAGGAGATTCAAAAAGGCTTAGATCAAATCTATGCCGGCATTAAACAGCAACAAGAACGTTTGGAGCAGAGAGCCAAAAGTGATCCCGAATTTGCCAAGAAATTAGAGAATGTACGTTTGGCCAATCAAAACGGCCAATATGTGGGTCCCTTGGAGAATCCTTAAAGTGGGAGATCACTACTACCTTAATGTCATGGCACATATATTAACATTAACCCCCCGCCCTATTTATAACCTCTAGACTACCACAAATGATAATTTTAACTGAAACACAAACATCAACAACACAAATTTTGCAAACTAATTAACCACCCCCCTTCCATTCAAACGAAAAATAAAAACTAAGACTGTGATTTGTTTTAAGTTCGGTGTTGTAAGCATGTGGCTCCAATTATCTTTGATATCCGTTTCTGTTTCATTCCTCTTTTTTCTGCATTCAATTTGAAATTGTCTTTTGTTCACCTTGGCAATCGACGTTGCTTGCGAATTGTGTGTGCGTGTGTGAAAATATTTATTTTTCCATTTCTCGAAAATTTCCATCCTAACAACTGACTAATCATCCAACAAACATTTTTTTTAACAATGAGACACTATTTTATTTTTATTTCAACAATAACAGCAACAACAACAGAAATTAATGTACAAATAATTTGAAATAATTAAAAAAGAAAATACTCAAATAAAATAAATAAAGAAAAAAAAACTAAAAATTAAGATTACTTTTTAATTGATTACGGAAACAGGAAAACACAACAGTTGGAAAATTTAGCCCGGTAATGATGCTTGAAATATTTCCCGGAAAATTTTAGAGCTCGATTATGCACCATTGGTATAGCAAAATTAAAGTTATACATTTAGCAAGTCTAGTATAGGAGAATAAAATCCCGGACTGCCGAGATAATCCATATAATGGTTTACAGTGTGAGATAAAAAAAAGACCTCAACAAAGTCAAACTCCATAATTTTTACATTTTTTTTTAAATTTTATTAAATGAAAAAAAAAAAATGTCGGAAACAGCATCAAATTTTAGAATAAGTTTAGATTTGTTCGAATTGGTCACCTTTGGCACGAATATGGCCTTTATACGGCCAATGAAAACGCTGCTCGAATCATGCTCTGCGGTATTTTGGCCCATTCCCGGCGAAGCACTTGCTCGAGGTGATCAACACTTTGATATTTTTTAGTGCCACCTTGCTTTCCAAAATACTCCAGACACAATAGTCCAACGGATTGGTATCCGGAGATTTTGGTGGCCACTGTGAGCTGAAAATGATGCGAGGAACCTCATTTTGTAACCATTCCTGTGAGTCCTGTTGGAATGTCCAAGGTCTGCGGCCAAAATGTTTGCGTGCCTAAGGCTTTAATACACCCTCTAAAATATTTTCGCGATATATAGTGCATTTATTCTGATGCCACGGTCGATTAATACGAGCGGAGAGCGACCATCGGCTGTTCTGGCGGCCCACACTATAACCATGGCCGGCGCTTGAGTTCTGGTGGTCAACCGAAGGTGCTCATTTTTAGCTGACCTCTTTGGCAAGTAAACATGATCATTATGTTTGTTTACAAACTGCTGGATAATGAATGTTTTCTCATCGAAGAAAACCAAATTCGGCAGTTCACCACTTTCGGCCAAGTGAAGCAACTCTTTTGGGCCTATTTTCTTTCTGTTGCGGTGTAAGTTCTTGCACTTTTTATACCCTCCACCAAAAAAAGTATGGAGAGTATATTAAGTTCGTCATTCCGTTTGTAACTCATCGAAATAATCATTTAACCCAACAAAGTATATATATTCTTGATCAGCGTAAAATTCTAAGACGATTTAGCCCTGTCCGTCCGTCTGTCCGTCTGTTGTAATCACGCTACAGTCTAAACGAATTAAGATAGGAAGCTAAAATTTTGCACAGATTTCTCTTTTGTCTGCAGGCAGGTCAAGTTCGAAGATGGGCTATATCGGTCCACGATATCGTATAGCCCCCATATAACGGTACCCCCGATATTTGGTATTTTGATGATTTATCCACATTTTCAATGGAATGGTCTGAAATTCCACAAAAGGAGTCCTTTGTGGGCATTTTACCCCCTCAAAAAGAATTGTCTATATATGTCCACGATATCGTTTATCCCCCATATAACTGTACCCCCCGATATTCGGTATTTTGATGATGTTAGCCACACTTTTCAATGGAATTGTCTAAAATACCCGCGAAATTCGGTATTTTGAAAATCCACACAAGGAGTTCCTTGTGAGTACTTTACACGCAGACATAGATTTGTCTTTATAGGTCCACAATATCGTATATCCCCCCATATCGGTACCTTCCTATATTAGATATTTTAAAGATTTTTAAAGAATTTTTGATGGATTTTATTTTTTTGAAAAATTTCTAATTCGTTCCAAATGGTGGAGGGTATTCAAAGTTCGGCCCGGCCAAACTTACTGCTTTTTTACTTGTTTGAATTTCAATGGCTTTACCCCGAGCTGATTTTCCAATATTTGCCGAATGGAATATTGCGATATGTTCAGATCACGAGCCATTTTTCGGCCACTGCGACGCGGGTTTCGATCAAGTCGCTTCCTCACTTTTCGAACCATTTCTGCTGATGTTGGTGTTTTCTACCGTCCAATTTCTTGACGTCGGGCTGCGCTACGAGTATCAAGGTAAGGAGCGATGCTACAAAAAAACTATAGATTTATTTACATTTAGATGCTGGAGTGCTCTAAAGATAGCCACTTGTGGGTTTCCAACCAAATTTAAAAACATCACACTATTACGCTACAATTTCCTTCACAAATAAGTTTTTTTCTGGAAAATTCTCACCAAAATGCTTTTGTACGCGTGTAAACAATATAATGAGCTGTCACTGGTATAATCTTAGCAGCTGTCCGACGAGTGGCTTAGAAATGACAGCAGTCTGAAGTTGGTTGCAGTTTTTTCATCTCACCCTGTATATACCCGAAATACACGGATTTCGAGGAATCTTAGTCCTAACATTGATGTTGATATATTTCGGTTACTTTGCAATCTGAACTTTTAAAACGCTGGTACACGCTTTTCTTTTTAGCTCTACTTTCATAATCGTCTGTGTTGCACAGAGTAATGATTGAAAATGTAGACCCGTTTGTTGAGTAGGTTTTAGAAAAATATGACCAATAAATTCCATATTCATATCACATCTTGTGTTGGTAGAAATATTGGGATGTGGCAAATTTGAAAAGAATGGTAGGCTCATTTTAAATTTTATGAGCGTTGTAATTATTGAAAATCATAAAATTGGGGTATGCGAACTTTGAATATAATTTCCGTACCTACTGGAGAACTGTTTAGTTCTCACAGAGCAAATGAATCCGTCATAATCCACATATTGGCACCTGTAGTCACTCTTGTGCAAAATTTTAAGGTTCTGCCTTGCAGTCGAATAGAAACTAACTTATTATTCCATCATATCCACCAAAGTTATTGGAAAGTATTTTCTGAGTAAATGACAAGACAGTGTTTGCAGTTTTTTCATCTCACTCTGTACACTATCAGCCATATTTTAAAACTGAAATCTCGTCAACCATTAGATTAGAGGATTGATGTATTTACTAAAAATCGAAATTTTCATTAAATTCAATATAATATTATTGCCTTACAAAAAATTCGGTATGTTGACTAGAGGAACATAAAATGCCGACAATTACAAATAAGAGGTGTTTGAATTTATTATAATTAATTTTATACTGACAACAGTGAAAATTTAACAAATAAAAAAAGTAAGTTCGGCCGGGACGAACTTTGGAACGAATTTGAAATTTTTCAAAAAAAAAAAAATAATAAATAAAATCCCTTAAAAATTTGTTAAAATTTATAAATACCGGCAACTTTTGTCATAAGCATTACAATGTGTATTCAAATACGAAACTTGAAAAAATTATCCGGTCAAAATACCGAGTATAGAACCTCCCTATATATATCCCATTATATCGGGACTATACGAAAACCTGGACCTGCATAGAATATTTTTTGTCACAGTTTCAAACAATTTCAGTCAATATTGTACCTAAAATAAACCAAATACCGAATATGGGGAGGTGTCATAGACTGTAGTTCCCATTACGAACCCATAATACGAAATTTAAAGCAACTCCGATGAATAATGTACCGTATGTATATGAAGATTACGAATTCAAAATAGAAAATTTTATATAACTCCGGTAAATAATCGTCAAAATATCGAATATAAGGGGGGGGGGGGGGGGGGGGGGTGTACCGTTGTATGTGAGCTATACGATATCGTGGAGCTACGGATTTTTAGACAATTCCATTGAAAAATTTAACTAAAATCATGATCCCTATTAGATTCCACTGAATATAAAGAGTAAAGCATACTCGATTGGTATACTACTCGAGTGGTATAGAACAAGTTAAAAGGTATTGTAATGATTATTCAAATTGTTGACCCTTAATGGAAGAGGTTTCGAAGAAGTGGGCCAATATTTTCCATTTAATATCTGACCTAAGTCTCATATAAATATGACAACATCCCAGATTTCGACTATATCATTCACTTGCCCCACTTCATATGAGATAATTTACGGAAAATGTTGAATTGAGCGTGAATTACCAGATAGATAGCACATGCCCGCTACTTCGTTCGCGAATTTGGAAATATTGAAACCTTTTGAAACATATTATGTTGTTTTCACAAAAAACAGAGAAACAAAAATGAGAATTCTTGTAAGTTTATTGCTCCCATAAATGGTACATAAATGGTATAAATGGTACCAAATTTAATGTTATTTGGTACTTTTTATTCATTCTCAACCCTACACACCAATAATTAAAATTTTAGTACCATCTGGCACTTTTCGTAAATCGACACGTCAATTCTAACCCCAACACCAAAATTCTAACTCTATCCGTGCAACAATACTTAATTTTGTACCATTTATTACTTTTGTACTGTTGAAGTACTTATTTCCAAAAATAATTTCAAATTTCAGGACATCAGCTCTATAGGATCTCCCAATCCAATTTTTACCAAATTTAGTACCATTTTGTATACATAATTACGATTTTCCAAAAATTACTGCATAACCAAATCCTATGCTCCAACAGAAGACTCAAGTTCAATTTCCAGGATTACAGCCTTATCGGTTCACCCTAATTCAAATTATACCAAATAGTTATATCCCCAATGTACACTTTAATAGTAATCCTAATTCCAAATTTCAGGATTTCAGGATTAACACAAATCCAAATTATATATAACTAGCTGAACCCGGTGCGCTTCGCTTCCCCTTTTGATTTTATATGCATTCAAAATTTTATTTACGAATATATGTTGGTTAAAAAAAAAAAAATAAATAAAAATTAAAAAAAATTATTTCACTACTTTAATGCGTAAATAACCAAAACCATTAAAAAAGCAGTAACATGACATAGATACACGAAGGGTTTGTCCTTCGAATTTATTTATTTCATAGCAAATACCAAGCGTGCAGTAAACTGCAATCTTTTGAAGTTGAGTGGCATTTCTATTGCAATTAGTGAATTCGAGATAGCAACATACTTCGCCGTAATAAGCGTATTTCAAATCAATTGTTGTGTTGTTTTTTAGTGTTAGCCTAAGGCGTTGTGGGTCACTGGTTCTTATTAAAATCATATCCCAATCTGATCCGATTTAAATATAATTTTAAAAAAATTACTTTTACACCAAAGTCCGCCACCTTTTATATTTCATTGAAATTGTTGCGTCAAATATGTGAAATCGGCCGATAATATATATATGGGAGCTATATCCAAATCTTAACTTATTTCCAATTCATTTGTCACATTTATTATTGTAACCAAATTCCGCCACACATTCTGAATTTCATTGGTATCGGTCATATATATTATGTTTGGTGCATAACATGTATGAAATCGGCCGAAATATATGTTAGCTATATCCAAACCTCAACTGATTTCAATATAATTTGGCAATTTTTTCTGGTGCCAGATTTTGTCTCTCTCGCTTTGGGTGCATCAAATGTGCGAAATCGGCTGAGTATATAAATGGGAGCTATAATCACATCTGAGCGTATTTGAATATAATTTGTCAAATTTATTTTTGTACCAAATTTAGCCACTCATGCCGAATTTCGTTGGAATCGGAAATACGTATCGTGTTTTGTGCATCAAATATGTGAAATCGGCGGAAAATATATATGGGAGCTATATCCAAATCTGAACCGATTTTAATATAATTTGACTAATTTATTTTCAAATCAAAATCCCGTTACATATTCCAAATTTCTTTGGAATCGAACATACATATCGTGTATGGTGCATAAAATAGATGAAATCGGTCGAAAATATATATGAGAGCTATATCCAAATCTGAACCGATTTTAATATAATTTGACAAATGTATATTTGTTTTAATTTCCGCTACACATTCCAAATTTCATTGAAATTAGAGATACATAGCGTGTTTGGTGCATCAAATGCTTGAAATCGGCCGAAAATATATATGGGAGCTATATCCAAATCTGGACCGATTTCAATATAAATTGACAAATTTATTTTCGGACCAAATCCCGTCACACATTCCAAATTTCATTGGAATCGAACCTTCATATTGTGTTTGAGGCATCAAATGAACGAAATCGGTCGAAAAAAATATATATATATTATTGAAATTAGAGATTCATAGCGTGTTTGGTGTATCAAATACATGAAATCGGTCGAATATATATGGGAGCTATATCCAAATCTGAACCGATTTCAATTTAATTTGACAAATTCATTTTGGCTCCCAATTCCGTTACTTATTTTAAATTTCATTACAATTGGAAATACATAGCGTGTTTGGTCCACCAAATACATGAAATCGGCCGAAAATGTATGTGGGAGCTATATCCAAATCTGAACCGATTTCAATATAATTTGGGAAATCAATTTTTTAGATAAAATCTATCACACGTTTCAAATTTCATTGAAATGGGGGATATATAGCGTGTTTGGTTCATCAAATGCTTGAAATCGGCCGAAAATATATATGGGAGCTATATCCAAATCTGAAAGAATTTCAATATAATTTGACAAATTTATTTTCGCATCAAATCCCATCACATATTCCAAATTTCATTGGAATCAAACATTCATATTGTGTTTGAGGCATCAAATGAGCGAAATCGGTCGAAAATATATATGGGAGCTATATCCAAATCTGAACCGATTACAATATAATTTTTCAAACTTACTTTTGTTCCAAATTCCGTTACGTATTCCAAATTTGGAGACTGTATCTTCAACCAATCAATAGATATGTGCATATAAAATCAAAATTTTTGGGAGGTACCTCCGATTCTGATGCTATATCTCCAGTTCCAAGTGGAAATTCAAAAATGTATATAGCCTATGTTACTTTCAGGCGATGTTGCAGTATATATGGAAATTTTCAGGAAAATCTATTCAGCGGGTTTCGAGTCCATAAATTACAAACAAACAAACAAACAAACATACAAACATTTTCCTCTTTTATAGATATAGAAGATTATTTTATTATCAATCACACAATACCATGAAAATCTTTTTTTTTTTCGGTTTCCTATCGTTTCGCCGAAATAAATACGAATTTCCAAAATTTTCTACTTACCCCAATCCTACAATGTAACATTAATCTTATTTCTAAATCTCAGCATTCCAGCTCTATCGGTTTACCCAAATCGAAATTGTACCGAATTTAGTACCATTTAGTTATTTTCATGCGCATAAGTGCAAATTTCGAAAACTACCTCCATATCCCAATCATATAGCCAATTTAATACCGTTTAGTACTTTTCGTATACATGAGTACACACTTCCAACACTACCTCCTTACATCGACCCTTATCCTCTTTAACCGTTCACCTGACACGAAATGGTACCAGAAGGATTGGAACGATCAAACTTAGATATCGAATAATCCCTTCGAGAGTCATTGTGCGCACCAGCCAGATAGACTGACGGACACCAAATGTCCTGAAACGAATTTGGTTCAAAGAAACCCGTTATTACGATGAATTACGTTTTGGTCGTAGCCACATAGCTAAGGATATAAATTTATTGAGTATTCCGCTCGATCGAGTTTAGAGTAAAACTCACATTTCGAAACTCAAACTTAAACCAATCTTATGCTGAAATAAGTACTCAATAACGGTCATAGCTTATATGATTTACTTCACACAAATTCTTAATATAAATGTATATTCGGTGCGAATACCCTGCAAAATGTTCGTAGTCTAGTTTGCCCTAATTTTTTTCTTTTTGTTACTCGTTTAAATTTATAGTTCCACATTTAATAATTCCGAGCTGTCAGATGTTTAAACAAGAATATCGTGCCAAGAAATTTAGTCATTAGGATAACTGACTTATTATTCTGTGCATCACTACATTTATTGGAAAGTACTTTTTGGGTAGTTGATGGGACAAGTGTCGCCTCAGAATTTCAGGACAAGGGAAAATATAAATTCATCTCTTTTGACACCGAATGTCACATCTTTGTATCTCTTGTTTTCTTTTATTGCAGCATAACTGTGTGTTGTTTTGTTTTTGTTTTTAACCTGAGTTTTAAATATACAATGAAAATGAGCTTTCCAAAATCAATAAATAAATACAGTTTCGAAATGGTGTGGATGAGGGGAATAACTGCTATTCACATTTAATAATAGTAATAATAAATAATCTTAAAAATAAAACTAAAATACAATAACAACATAAATTTAATTGACTTTGTAGATTTGTTGATGAATTCGCCGAATGTGAATCGAAATATTCTTCATAATTTTGAACACTGGCTCGAATCACTGGATTGGCACTGTTGCTGTAGTGTTGCCGGTTTATGCTGCTGCTTCGTGTGGTAGTGGTGGTGGTGGTGGTGGTGGTGCTTCTGGTGACAGGTCTTGCAATGTACATCTCCTTACCCAGGTTTATGCCGCTGGGCATGGGAAAGCAAAAGACCCTTTCAATGTTGACAACCTCATTGGAGTTCATCATATTGAACTCCCGCACAGTTATGGGTACACAAATCGCTGGTTCCTCGAGGGAGTTCTCGGTTGCATAGGGGGAACCCAACTTTGTTATATTGCCCGGCAATTTGGGCCACAAAGAGGGTGGTATATTTAATGCAGTCAATGTTAAGGGTAATTCTGCGGAATGACTCTCGGTGCTTTGTTCCACCGTAAGATCCGAGTCATTCTCTTCTGGTGACCGTTCCGTTGATATAACCGAAGACAGGGGTGTATCCATAAAATCCGTTGGCCAATTCATGCGTATTACACTGATATCTTCATCCTCCTGTAACTGAGGTGCAGAGTTCGCTGTGGGTGCTTGTCTTGTCTCCACCTCTATGTCATCATAATCTCCATTTTTTCCAACACCCTCATCATCATCATCATTACTTGCATCTTCATCATCATGGGTAGGACGATGATTATGATGATGCTGCTGTTGCTGCTGCTGCCGATGCTTATTGTACTGCTCATCTGGTGTCACCTCAATGGAATGCCTCGAGCTTTGTTTATGATTGTACTTTATTTCTATGGTGTCATTAATCTGTCTAACCACCTCCACTGGTGGCACATTTCCGTCGACTTTTTTACCATCGATTGGGATTGTCACACTTTGTTCTGTGTTCTCCGAGGAAAATTGATGGTTGGCTGGAAATGTCGACGTTGTTGTGGCCATTGTTGTAGATGACGGTGTTGCCGTTGAGCTTGACAAATTGGTGCGTATCTTTTGACGACCTTGTTTTTTAAGATTTTTGGTAGAAGATCTAAGCTTTTGTTCTACATTCTCTGTGGATTCTTTGGAAGGCTTTTGTTTCAAAGAAGACGATAGCGACTTTTCAAATGAATCATTCTCAAATTTTATGGGTTTCGGTTGTTTGTTGTCAATGAAGCCACCTAGAAAGAAAACAACAAAACAAAATAAATATAATAAATTTAGTTGTTTTAATAAAAAAATATATATTAATTTTTTACCGATTTTAGAATAAATGAACAATATTACAACGACAAAAAGAGATATTTTTAATTAAAAAAAACTCTATAACACAAACGGCAGCCTTGGATCAGAAAAATGCGCATGGGAGTATTTTTGAACCATTATAGTCCCATTTTAAACATACTTTTTCACCCCTAACAAAGACGGAACTATAATAGGCTATGAAACAATATAAGTAAATATTGGAGAGTTGGCTCTAGCATTCTCCTCCAAAACCAAATCTGTGGATCCTCATTTAAGATAGAATAGAAAATTTTAGACATTTTTAATTATAAGAAACCACTGTAGGATTCCAGATTTGTTAATGGAACTAACTTCGATATGCATTTAAATTTACAGCAACATTTTTCCCGGATTTGGCAATAATTTGGTTCTTCAGTTTCTAAGTGTGTGGAACAAAAAATTTAAGCATGTGTGCATTTTAGTACCATCTGAGCGAAAAAGCTCATCCCCACAGAGAACACATAATTTCAAATTGCTTCGGATTAGTTAGAATTGTTAATGGACTTCATCAAAACACCAAAATTGAAGCGTATCGTTATAAGAAGAAAATATCAAAACATAGACCGACAGAACCCATTTTCGAAATCACTTATCCCCAAAGTTCCACATAAAGAAGTTAGAAGATTACAAGTAAAAAAGCTGTAAGTTCGGCCGGGCCGAACTTTGAATACCCTCCACCATTTGGAACGAATTTAGCAATTCTCAAAAACAATAAAATCCGTTAAAAATTCTGTTACAGTCTTAAAAATACCAAATGTATCTGTTATATTAGGGTCTACACGACGACATAAACCTGCATAGATAACATTTGTCATAAGACATTAAAATATTTAAATGCAAAACTTAAAAAAAGACGGTTATAATTTCGATAAAATCAAAATACCAAATATCGGGAGGTACCGTTACATGGGGCCTATACGAAGACGTGGACCTGCACAGACAATTTTCTGTCTTAGGCTGTATTATCCATTACGAACCTCAAATACCAAATTTGAAACAATTCCGGTGAATAAATTCGCTAAACTCATCAAAATACCGAATATCAGGAGGTTATACGAAGACGTGGACCTGTACAGACAATGTTCTATCTTAGGATGTAGTATCCTTCACGAACTTCAAATACGAAAATTTGAAACAACTCTGGTGAAAAATCTCCATAAAATCATTAAAATACCGAATATCGGAAGGTACCGTTATATGGGGGCTGTAGTATCCTAACCAACTTTAAATGCCGAATTTTAAACAATTCCGGTGAATAAATTCGCTAAACTCATCAAAATACCGAATATCAGGAGGTTATACGAAGACGTGGACCTGTACAGACAATGTTCTATCTTAGGATGTAGTATCCTTCACGAACTTCAAATACGAAAATTTGAAACAACTCTGGTGAAAAATCTCCATAAAATCATTAAAATACCGAATATTGGGAGGTACCGTTATATGGGGGCTATACCAAAACGTGGACATACATGGTCCATTTTCAATACCAAAAGTCCTGCAGACATACATTTGAGTAAAATTTTATCAATCTACTTCAATTTGTTCGGAAGCTAGAGTGATTCCACAGACGGACAGACGGACGGACATCGCAAAATCGACATAGAATTTTATGCTGATCAAGGTCTAAAATGTGTATTACTATGGTGGAGGGTATAAAAAGTATCAGTAGGTTTTGCCGACAGAAGTATACCCTCAACCAATGCTCTAATATTTAAACATATTTTGACTTCTGTTATGATTATTCAAATTGTTGACCCTCTATGGAGTAGGTTCCGATATAAATGTTACGACTTGCGAGTTTTGTTATTATCTTTAAATGGGATATGTGATAATTTTTTGAAAATCTTAAAATGTGCGTATGGTTCCAGATATAGTCGATCGAAGTATTCTATTTCCATACTTCATCTAATACAGATACAAATATTGGTATGGGCAAAATTACAAGAAAATCAAACATTTAATCAAATTTTATGCGAAATCATAAATGCCATATTTAGATTAAAGTATTGAAAATTGTGAGCCTTTGTGGCTGAGGTACAGGAGGGACGGTCCGGTCTCTACCATCTTAATAACAGATCTCGTGTTGATAGAAATATTGAGATGTGCCAAGCTTGAATTGAATCGGATGTTAACTTCGCGTTGTATGAGCTTCATGAATATTTAAAACTTTTCCCTTTGTGGGAGAGGTACTTGATGGAGTATACTGATATTTTCAACTTTCGCACCTGACTTAACACTGATGTAAATATTAGGATTGCAAAGTTTGAGCAATGTTGGATTGTCCTATCTCTTTCTGTGCAGTAAATTATTTATAACCTACAGCACATAGTGGTAAGGGTATTATGTCTTTGTGCATTTGCTTGTAATAGGAAGAAAGAAGCGGGATAGACCCATAGTTACTTTTGAGGATCTTCATGGAATCACTTTTTGAGACGATTTATGTATGTATTCCTGTGAACAAAATGCAGGTCGCATATATTATCCGATTGAGATGAAATTTTGCAAACAAGAACGAACTCTATTGATATTGGTAATAATCGGATCAGATTTTGATATAGCTCCCATATGTCCTACCTATTGCGGGTAAATTGCGCACCTAATGGCTAATATAAGTCCAAATGACCTGTATTTTGGTACATCACACCGAATTCAGTCTAGAAGTATGTAAAAAAAATTGGAGAAAATCGGTTCAGATATAGCTATAGCTATATATACCATTCATCCGATTTGGGGTTTTAAGTCTCTCACATGCTTAATATGCCCTAGAGAAGAATGATATTTGGTACCGGATGGCTAATATAAGCCCAAATGACCTGTATTTTGGTACATCCCACCGAATTCAGTCTAGAAGTATGTAAAAAAAATTGGAGAAAATCGGTTCAGATATAGCTATATATACCATTCATCCGATTTGGGGTTTTAAGTCCCTTACATGCTTAATATGCCCTAGAGAAGAATGATATTTGGTATTCCGAAATAAGTGTATCCAATTTTGTCAGATTTGAATATAGCTCCCATATACATATATCCTAAATTTGAGAAGCACCAAATGGCCAATATCAGTCCTAATGACCTGAATTTTGGCACATCCGACCGAATTCAGACTAGTAGCAAGTACATAAAATTCGAAGAAATCGGTTCAGATATAGCTATAGCTCCCATATACATGTGTCACCCGATTTGGTGTTTTTAAGTCCCTCACATCCGTAATATGCATTCGACAACAATGATATTTGGCACCAGATATGTTATAAAGCTCGGAAACACCTTTGCCAAATTTTGTCGAGAACGACAAAGATTCGGATATATATGGGAGATAATATTTATATTATTAATTAATATTATAATATTAATCCGATTTCATGTTTATTGTGCAAATAATGGCTAAAAGCCATGCAACTCGGCTCCGATATATATATCTTTTTAATATAATCCTCCTCCAAGTGATATCATGCACTCTATAGTAAGCTATAACTGTTCTAAAGCCAAATGTGGAAATAAATTATTTTTTTACGGAAGCTCTACTAAATATGCATATGCAGCGGGACAAACGTTATGGGCCCGCTCGACTTTTAAATTTCCTTACTGTTTATACCCTACAACACTATGTGTTGGGTGTATTATAGGTTTGATTGGGCCAAAAATTATGTAACACCTCGAAATATTGGTTTCCCACATAGGAAAGTAAGTAGGGATCTTCCTATCTCGCCGAGCTGAGACGATCTAGCTATGTATGTCCGTCCGTCCGTCTGCCCATGTTAATTTGTAATCACTTCACAGGTCGCAATTATGGCCCGATCTTCACAAAATTTAGAATGAAAGTGGGCATAGGGCCCTCTTGGCATAAAAGTATAAAATCTAAATCGTATTAAAAGATACCAGTAATGATGTTAATATAGATTTTGTTGTATTTTGTGACATTTTTTCATATTTTTTATCGCATGCTATTTTTTCAATTTGACTTATAATATTGATGTATACATTTTGTAACATTTTTTCAATTTACAACACAGGTTGGGGTTATTATATACAGATTGCAATTATCGTCCGATCCTCACGAAAATTTTCACAAAGGTAGGGTTAGGCTCAGAAGGGCTAGGCCAATTGTTTTCAAAGATGTCCGCAATATAATTAGGAGTTGAAATGGACCAACAATTAAAAATCTTCCTGATTTTGCAGCCATTATAAAGGTCACAAATAGAAACCAAAGGACACTAAATATCGTACGAAGTTAGAGTTTAGGACAGCGGGTAGAATCGACCACTACTCTTGTGTGAAAAAATAAGAACATTACTTGCAGGCGGTATCCGAAATACACAAAATGCGAACATCTGGCTTTTTTATTCTGATTTCGTTGACGAATATACCCAAATATCGTAGACAAGCAAATTATATAGATGACTCTTAATTTGGAGATAAAGAGGGACCTCTTATGTAGATGATCGCAAAATATTATATAAAACTGAACCAAAAACAGAAAAAAAATCCTGATAACTCAATTGAAGCCAATCGACACACCTTAGAAGAGAGTTAAGGACAGCGAAGAAGTCTAGCATTTTTGTTGACCTTTGGATTATATTTAGCTGTAAAATGGACCACAACAACTAATAACTCGACGGAGTGCGTAAATATTGGACAAATGTCAATGGTCAAAATGCTAACGGTAATATCTAGGCAGTGCTTCGTGACATAAATTCAAAAGCGAAATCTTTTAAAATGGATTTGGACATAAGGGGGCTTCTAACATGTTGTAGGGTATCACATGGTCGGCCCAGCACGACTATAGCCTTTGCTTACTTGTTTTTTTTTTTTTTGAAAATGTATTCCTGTTGTGGGGAATGTACCAGAAGAGGTTAACCAATATTGCCCGTCTCCGAACTCGATCTAAATTTGACAATAATATTACGATGTACCAAATTTGAATCAAATCGGATACTCCCTTCAAGAGTTATAGTGCGCCCCAGCCAGACAGCAGACAAACGGACGGACGGACATCGCTAGATCGACTCCAAATGTCCTGAAACGGATTTGGTCCAAAGAGACCTATGGTCTAAAACCGTTATTTCAACTAGGCTCGTTTTGGCCGTATCAAATGATATGACTGAGTGTATAAAAATTTGATTTTTGATCTGGTTCTAAATAATTTTGATAAAGAGCGATAAGTCTTACAAATGATTCCAAATTACTCTGAAGTAAGTACTTCTTTGAATTTTATTTATTTTAAGTAACCCTTGTAATGACCAAAATCATGCAACTTGTTTTTAGCTGCAAATATCATTATATAAATGAACTATGTGTATTAAAATCTAAACATAATTGATAATTCAATGAATATAAAAAACTTACTTATTGTATTGTCCTGTAGCATTACAATAAATAAGTTTTTTATATTCTTGAATTTATTTTGTTTTTATTTAAAAATGTTACAATGTCTATTTGGTTTTGATTCAGGAAATGTCTATTTGTTTTTCCTTCGCTCGGTCTGGGGAAACTTGCAAGTTACAGCTAACAATGGGAAAAGCAGGAACTTGTCAAATTCAGTGCTCATACACTAAGAGTTTGTCCTTAGGATATATTAGTTGTCATAGCAAATGCCAAGCGTACAAGAAACTGCATTTTTTTAGAGTTTTAGAGTGATTCGAGGTAGAAATAGATTTGAACCTACACACTTCCTTTTTACACTTTTTTTACTGTTAGCCTAATACCATTGTAAAGGCGTGGTGGGTCTACAAAATTGCCAAAATTTATTTTATATCAAATTCTGTCACACATTCCCTACTTCATTCAAATTTGGCAAATATATAGCGAGTTTGGTGCATCAAATACACGAATTCGGCCGAAAATTCATATAAGAGAAAACATTCTTTGCCCAGCAGTTTGTAAACAAACAAAATGATCGTATTTACTTGCCAAAGAGGTCAGCTGAAAATGTGCACCTTCGGTTGGCCACCAGAACTCAAGCGCCGGTCATCGTGATGGTGTGGGCCGCCATAACAGCCGATGGTCGCTCTCCGCTCGTATTAATCGACCGTCAGAGTAAATGGCGAATATTATCGCGAAAATATTCTGGAGGGTATATTAAGGCCTTCGGCACGCAAACATTTTGGCCGCAGACCTTGGACATTCCAACAGGACTCAGCACAATAGCACTCAGCACGAGACACCCAAGTATGGTTTCAAAATGAGGTTCATGGCCGGATACCAATCCGTTGGACTATTGTGTCTGGAGTATTTTGGAAAGCAAGGTTAGCACTAAAAAATACCAAAGTGTCGATCACCTCAAGCAAGCGCTTCGACGGGAACGGGCCAAAATACCGCAGAAAAACATTCGGGCAGCGTGTGACGGTTTCATTGGCCGTTTTGAGGCCATAATTCGCGCCAAAGGTGACCAATTCGAACAAATCTAAACGTATTCTTCAATTTGAAGCTATTTCTGACATTTTTGCTTTCATTCAATAAAATTTAAAGAAATGTAAAAATTATGGCGTTTGACTTTGTTGCAGTATTTATCTCACCCTGTATATTCTTGATCAGAGAATTTAAATTTTGCACAGATCGGTATTTTGTCGAAGATCAGTCCATGATATATAACGGTGCCCTCTATACTCAGTGTTTTGATGATTGCAGCCAAAATTTTCAGTGAAATTGTCTGAGCTCCTTCTAAGTATGTTACTTCCTGAAAGAGAAATGTATATAGGTCCACGATATCGTATCGTTTTTATCGTATCGTTATCGTTTTTTAACAGGAATTGTTTCAAATTTCGTGGTTAGGATTCGCAATAGGCACAACAGCCTATGCCAAAAATTGCGTATGTAGGTCCACGTATTCATATAGCCTCCATATAACGGTGCCTCCTAATTTTCGGTATTTTGATGAAACTAGTGACATTATTCACCGGAGTTGTTTCAAATTTCGTATTTAGAGTTCGTAATGAGAACTACAGACTGTGCAGGTCCGGGTTTGCAATTTCGTATTTGAAGTTCATAATAGGTACTACAGCCTGTGACAGAAAATTGCGTATGCAGGCCTACGTCTTCGCATAGCCTCCATATAACGGTACCTCTCAATATTCGTTATTTTGATGATTTTAGCTAAATTCTTCACCGGATTTTTTTCAAGTTTCGTATTTGAATATTGTAATAGCTTATGACAAAAGTTGCCAATGCAGGTCCACGTCTTAATATAGAACCCAATATAACGGCTATATTCGGTATTTTTATGATTTTAACAGAAAGTTTTTATTTTCAACACTGAGGTATACCACACCGGTTACGCTGACCAACCAAGTTAAAGGTTCTATGTATATTCAAAGGAAAACTATATTATTAAAATCGGACGACTAGAACCAGGTCCGTAAACTCGGGATGTCGGACGAAAAACTTTATTCCAATATAATTGGGTTAAAAGTGGTAGACATTCAAACTAATTTTGAGAAACGTCTTTAAAGGACATTTAAACTGTTTTTGTGTTAGATACCATGGATCATGGTTACACAGGTATCAGAAAAATTTAGTGATACATTCCGACTTGTTTTAAGTATCCAATACTTTATGTCAATCATCTATCCGTCTAATGAGATGTGAGAAGATGTTCAAAAATGATTGGACTGGATAAATACTATTGAGACCAGCAAAAATTTATTTTTACTCTTTCCAGAATTTATAACCCCTTCTACAATAATTACGAGATTTTGCACCCTTTCAATGAGAATTGTGAAGCTCTCTCAACATATGATCTTCCAAAAATCATGAATGAAAACAACTAGTCTGGCTCTGGAAGTCTCTAGAAACTGATTTCATACATTACAAAAACCATAAAAAATACATTGAAAACCAATAACAACTAGAAATATCTGCAATAAAAATGACCACCACTCACCATGCTGTCTATTGATGGTTTTGTTGGAAACTTTTCCAGCAGGATCAGCAGCAGCCAATGCCGCAGCTGCATTCTCGAAGATGCCAATGATATTGTCATTGTGATTGCCATTGTTGGTCATCTGTATTTTTGTATTTGTCGTTGTTGTTGTTGTTGTGTTTAACGCCGCAACCGGTTGCAAAGGCGGATCTGGCTTCCAAGTGCCATAAACGATTGACTCGAATACAGGACCATTTTCATTGCTAGTCAAAACGTATTTTGAAATGCGATCTTCCAAAACAGGACCAGAATAGGCTGGTGATGTTGTACTACTGGACGGTGTTGTTGGTGTTGTCCTTGTGGTGGGTGCTGAGGGCGTTGTGGAACTTGTTGAAGAACTTTGATGTAGAGGAGGAATGTTGTTACTACTGGCTGATATCGGTATCCAACCAGGCGTAATAAAGGGTCCTATGGGCTTGCGTGTTGGAAGTGTCACTTTGGCCGTGGTGGGAACCACAAATGGGTACAGCATTGGTTGAAGCGGAGGATTTTGCGAATCAAAACCTGGTGGCAAGAGCAGTGTTGATGGTTTTACCGATGTTGATTCCGGCTGCTGTTCTGCTGATGCTGGTAGATGGGAAAAAGGCAGTGGCACCTGTATGCTGACCACACCAACAATGGAAATGCATGCGTATGTGACCAGCAGTGAATATTGTTGGAACATTTTCAATTTTTCGTTTCTTGTTCTAATTCGAGTTTCGAGAAGAGGCGAATCGCACACTTGCTAATCATTAAAAATTATTATTATGTTTTTTTTTTCTCTCTTATTACTGTTGTTATCTTGTTGTTGCTCTTCAATTTTCTTCACTTGGCTTGCACGTTCAGGTTTGCAAAATGGCTATCAGCTCTGCTCCACTTTCTGACCGTAACACATTAAAAATAAAACTCTGTTAATTTTGCTTTACACCTTTTATTTCATTTTCTTCTTCGCAGTTCATAGCATTATTTGTTTCGATTCTTTCAAGAAGTTTCAACTACATTCGAATGCGATCTTCAGCGTTATTGTTTTTCACGTTTACACCATTTCAAATTGAATCTAATTCGTTGCGGTTCATTTATTTTATTTTTTAAGTCATTGTGTTGTGCGAAAAAACACAGTTTCCAAAGCATTTGTTCATTTTGTTGTCTTGCCTGATATTACTCATTTGAATCCGCGGGGATATGAGTACAACGGTTTTAATATCTATTTATACCCTACACCACAAGGTGGTCAGGGTGTTATGTCTTTGTGCATTTGTTTGTAACAGGCAGAAGGAAACGAGATAGACCCATACTTCCTTTTGATGATCTGCATAGAATCACATTCTGAGTCGATTTATGCATGTCCGTCCGTCTGTCCGTCCGTCCATGTATTTTTGTAAACAAAGTACAGGTCGCATTTATTGCCCGATCCAGATGAAATGTTGCAAAGATCTTTTGTTTGGCCCAAGGACGAACCTTATTGAAATTGGAGATAATCGGTCAAAATTTAGATATATTTTTAGATTTATGGGTAACAAATATAAAAAATCGGATGAACAATATATATGGGAGCTATAGCTTTATCTGAACCGATCTTTACCAAATTTTGCATACTAGCTTCTAGACTCAATTCGGTTGTATGTGCCAAATTCCATCCCATTTGGATGGATAGACTTTTGGTGCACAATAAAAGGTAAATCGGACGAAGTTATATATGGGAGCTATATCAAAATCTGAACCGATATCGATAAAATTTAGCAAAGGTATTTCTCAGCTGCATTTGATATATTTCCTCAAATATTGTTGTTACAGAGTGCATATTACGGCTGCGGAGGGCAAAAATAACAAATCGGATGAACAATATATATGGAAGCTATTGCTATATCTGAACCGATTTCGATCAAATTTGGCATACTTATTTTCAGGCCTAATTTCAGGCCTATTCGGTATGATATTAGACGTTTGGTGCACAATAAAAGGCAAATCGGACGAAGATATATATGGGAGCTATATCTAAATTTTTACCGATTATCTCCAATTTCAATAGGGTTTGTCCTTGAGCCAAATAAATTTTGTTTGCAAAATTTCATCTCAATCGGATAATAAATGCGACCTGCATTTTGTTCACAAAAATACATGGACAGACGGACGGACGGACAGACGGACTCATATACATAAATCAACTCAGAAAGTGAGTCTATGCAGATCATCTAAAGGAACTATGGGTCTATCTCGTTTCCTTTTGCCTGTTACAAACAAATGCACAAAGACATAATACCCTGACCACCATGTGGTGTAGGGTATAAAAACCAGAACAGAGGGAAAACCAGTAAGCAAAGCTCAAAAGTCGGGCGGGGCCGACTATATGATACCCTACACCACTATGCATATTTAGTAGAGCTCTCGTAAAAAGGTTTATACAGGGCATTTCAGAGCTCTATGAGATATTTGGTACAAAATCGAAATCTATCTAATTCTATCGTGCATTTTCCGAACTATAGCTATCTCTGAACCGGGTTTCTCCAAATTTGACGTATTAGCTTCTAGACGGAATTCGGTCTTATGTACGAAAATTCATGCCATTTGGGCTGATATTGGCCATTTGATGCACAATTAACACGAAATCGGATGACCTTATTGGGAGGCATATCCAAATCGGAACAGATTTTAATACAATTAAAATCAACTATTTTTGGGCTTTATCTGATATCTGGTACCAAATATCATTCCTGTGGAGTGCATATTACGAATGTGAGGGACTTAAAGACCAAATCGGATGAAAGATATATATGGGAGCTATATCCAAATCTGAACCGATTTCGATAAAATTTAAAACAGCTATTCCTGTGCTCCATCTAATACCTGGTACCAAATATTACGGTTGTGGAGTGAATATTACGAATGTAAGGGACTAAAACACTAAATCGGATGAAACATATATATGGTTGCTATATCTATATCTGAACCGATTTTCACTAAATTTGACATACTTGCTTCTAGGCTGAATTTGGTCCGATGTACTAAAATTCAGTCCATTTGGACTTATATCGGCCATTTGGTGCACAATTAACCCGAAATCGGATGAAGATATATATGGGAGCTATATCCAAATCTGAACCGATTTCGATAAAATTACAAACAGCTATTTCTGGGCTATATCTTATATCTGGTACCAAATATCATTCTTGTGGAGTGCATATTACGAATGTGAGAGGCTTAAACACCAAATCGGATGAAACATATATATGGGAGCTATAGCTGTTTCTGAACCGATTTTCGGTTCATTATTGAAAAACTGGTTCGGTTCAGAACCGGTTTGCAGTCCTTACGCAGTCCATACGTGAGCACTAATTGACCTTCATTGAAAATTTCAAGATTCTAACTACGGTCATTTGTCTGGGCGTTGGTTAAAGTCAGTAACAACGATAAGGGATCCTCAGTGAAAAAAAAATACCTACACCTTTTTAGCTAAGTCATTTGTGGGACTTGAGTGCATTTTTATACCCTCCACCATTCTAAGGGGGGTATATTAACTTTGTCATTCCGTTTGTATCTCCCCGAAATATTCATAATAGACCCTACAAAGTATATATATTCTGGATCAGCGTAAAATTCGAAGACGATCTAGCGATTTCCGTCTGTTTGTCTGTTGTAATACGCTATCTTTCGAACGCATGTATGCTAAAATTTTGCATACATTCATAGTTTACCAGTAGGCAGGTTAAGTTCGTAAAACATTTTCTTATAGCCGGTATTATTTCAAATTTCGTACTGGAAGATCCTAATGGGTATTACAACCTATGACAAAAATTTTAGTATGCAGGTCCACGTCTTCGTATAGTCCTCATATGACGGTTTTCATTAAAGTGGTAGTCTACGATTTTTTTTTTTTTTTTTTTTTTTTTTGAAATTCTTTAAGTTCCTTCGAAATGGTGGAGGGTATTAAAAGTTCGGCCCTGCCGAACTTATATGCTTTTTTACTTGTCATGGTTTTGATTGTTCCCCCGTTAAAAGACAAGCTAGATTTGCAGATCATAATGCTTTTCTTATTTTATCGGCAATTTGTTGAGCAGGGGCTGGATTCTATTTCTATGAAAATATGAAATGAAAAATATTTCCTTTATAAAATTTTTCATTTGACATTTCTTTCCTTTATAAAATTTTTAATTTCACATTTTCATAGAACAAGAATTGAGGCCCAGGTTTTCTATTTTAAACGGCAGCTAAATGTTGTTGTTTCCTCAAAGTAGATAATATATAAAGTATGTCCAGTCAGAGTGGAGGGACACAAACTGCTTAGAAATCTCATTGATTTGCTCAAATTTTCGGTATTTCTTCATTTCACAACGTTGTTTATATTTTAGAATTTAATGACTCAATTCCCGCGGTTATTTTTTTAACATTTTATTAAAGGCCAATTTTCTTTAGTAGTGGGGAACAGTTTTTTTAAACAATTTTCCTGTGAAAGTACGAGCATTTATTGCAAAACTTTTCGCTTTTACGTTATTTTTATATTTGATTTATGTATATTGTTTCATTAATTTATTTCATTTTTTTTTTTTTTTTTTCAATATCAAGACACACTTTTGCATTGGCTTAACGACTTTTTCTTAAATTTCAATTTGAAATGGTGTAATCCATGGCGATGTGCGTTGTTGTACACTTGTTGGAGTTGGAAAGAAATTGTTCCGTTCCTTACACTTTAAGCGTTTCGTAGACGAGCGTGTGTGGGGCTGTTAAAACAGAATTATTGCGCGTTTATCTTCATTACCGGTCAGCATCTTTGTTTGAACTGATATTTCAATCAGTTCTTCGGTTGTTGCAAACCCCATTTCTGGTCAAAACTCAATCGTCGTTGCCAATGGCTTGGCTAGTGCAGATAGTTAGCCGTGCCGCTTGGTGTCTGCATGCCCACCACCACTAAAGCTGTGATGCTTCACTTCGGCTGGCTTAAGTTTTGGTTGGATCTCTTTGTCTGTCTTTTTGTTTGTTTTGTTATGTTTTCTGCCACCGATGATGAAAAGGCCGTTAATTTCTGTTCAATTTCTTCTTCTTCTTCATCTTTCTATTATCGTTTCTTTATTGTTTTTATTATTATTGTTCTTTTGTTGTTGATTACAAGACAGTTTTCTTCTTTTTCATTTTGATAGTTTTTTTTTGAAACGTTTACCCTACGTCCATCCATATAATGTGTGTTTGAATGTGTTAAAGCTCATAGAGAATGTCGAGTAAACTGCATGCGGGGGAAACCTTGTGCCCGCATCTGAAATCGTGTGTTGTAAATCTATCTGACCTTAGCTTAAGAATTTTTGAAATTCAAACACAAATCACCGTTACAAATTATTCTGTTTTTTTTATTGTTATCATAACCCCTATCAATATTTTTGTTCTCTGTGCTGTCAGCTTTGCTTGGGTTTATACATTCATTAAAGCTCCAAAGACTGGAGAAGTGTTTGTTTGTAATTTATAGACTCAATAACTGCTAAACATATTTTCCATAGAATTTCCATATATACTACAGCATTTTTAAAATTCCACTGGAAACTGGAGCATCAGAAGCGCAGGTACGTCCAGCAAATTTAGTTTTATTGATCGGTTATAGTTACAGTCTTCGAATTAGGAATGTGTAACGCAAATTGGTTCAAAAATAAATTTGCCAAATTATATTGATCGGTTTGCCAAATTATATTGATCCAAATTATATTGATCGGTTCGATTTCGTTTATTTCATGAACCAAACACGATAAGCATGTTCGATTCCAATAAAATTTGAAATGAGTGACTGGATTTTATCAGAAAAGAAATTTGCGAAATTATATTGAAATTGGTTCAGATTTGGATATAGCTCCCATATACATTTTTGGTCGATTTCATATATTTGATGCGTCAAACACGATATTTGGTACTAAAATTAATTTGCCAAATTATAATGAAATCGGTTCAGATTTGGATATAGCTCCCATGTATATTTTCGATTCCAAGAAAATTTGAAATGAGAGAGAGGATTAGATCAGAAAATAATTTTGCAAACTGTATTGAAATTGGTTCGACCGATTTCATATATTTGATGCGTCAAACACGATATGTATGACCGATTTCAATGAAATTCAGAAGAAGTTCCGCAATTTGGTACTAAAAATAATTTGCCAAATTATAATGAAATCGGTTCACATTTGGATATAGCTCCCATATACATATATTCGATTCCAATGGATTCCAATGAAATTTGGAATGAGAGAGAGGATTTAATCAGAAAATAATTTTGCAAATTGTATTGAAATCGGTTCAGATTTGGATATAGTTCAAATATATATTTTTGGGCCGATTTCGTATGAAATTTGGAATTCGGTACAAAAAAATTACAAATATATATTGAAATCATTTCAGATTTGAATATAGCTCTTACATTCATTTTCGTCCGATTTCATGTATTTAATGCACCAAAGAAGCTACGTATCTCCAATTTCAATAAAATTTGGAATGTGCATGGAATTAGGTCTAAAAATAAATTTGGTATATTATATTAAAATCGGTTCAGATTTCGATATAGCTTCCATATACATTTTCGATTTCATGTATTTGATGCACCAAACACGCTATAAATCTGTAATTTCAATGAAATGTGGAATGTGTGACGGATCTTGGTGTACTAATAAATTTGTCGAATTACATTGATATGGGTTCAGATTTGGATATAGTTATCGTCCTATTTGATATATTTCATACACCAAACACGCTATATGTCAAATTTCAATGAAGTTTGGAATGTGTGACGGAATTTGTTCTAAAAATAACAAGAATCCAATTCTCTCTTAAAAGGTGACATTCCAATATTTATTCCACACAAGTTCAACTGGGAAGGTGGGATTTCGGTCCACACCTTCTATTACCTCCCCCACAAAGGGAAACAATTTCCTAACGTCAGGAAAAATTCAGCGATACTTTTCAAACTTGGTATATCTAAATATTTCTCACAAATAGAGATATTAAACGAATATGGAAACTATCGGTCCATTCCTTCTGGTACCTTCCCCACAAAAGTTCAACATTTTGATAATAATTTATTTGAATGAATTTAGAAAGAAATGTTCAATTTTCATTAAATTTTGCCCATGCCAATATTTTTATCAGTTTTAGGTGAAGTGGAATATTTCGGTCTGCATGTATGATTATTCTGGCAAAACCATGGTAAAATTAAGAAGGGAAACCTATTTCAAATAAGCATACCCATCCCTGCATTTTCTGTAATTTACCTTGTCAAATTTCACTGCATAAAAACTAGATTTCCATCTCTGATTTGTGTACTTACAATGAATTTATAAATATATATTTTGACAATTAGAAGTCAAACGAATTATTTTGAAAAAAAAAATGGTAAAGATATGCTTAAAAGAATAAGGATATGACTTTACCTTCTTAATTCTACCATGGTCAAAACATATACACAGTTTGTTTGTGTGTGTACATTGTTTTAAATAAAAAAATAAAATAATTTAAAATTATTTCAAATTCATTTGCAACAGAAATGCATATTTTCGACTTTTTCGGATGAAAATCGTATCGTAGATTTAATTTTGTGGAATTGCCCCAACATTCCTTTCATGTTTTGTAATTTTTCCCCAATATAACAATTTTAAAGGAAAAAATGTAAAATAAACAAAACCAAATGTTGCATATTTAAAAGTCTATTTGACACTATGAGATTTCCTTTATTATATAATTAAGCCTAACTAAGATATGGAGCATTATAACTGTTTTACGTGCCAAGGAACATCGAAAATAATACATTACTCTTTTCTTTGTAAAATATGCCACTCGTGATACTTATATATTTTAGATATTAAAATAAATTTTATTTGAAAAATGACAAGATCGATTGCTTTAGAAAAGGGTTGTCATATTCAATTTAGAAAATAAGTTTATCTCCATTGTTTTGCTATGGCTACCTACCAAATTTTGGTAGAATATTTAGTACTTTTAATAGGAAATTCAGTATTGTGGCCATGTGGAATTAATTGCACTCATAAGTTTAATTTTTTTTTTTTTCAAAATTATTCATTCGACATCTCATTTTCAAAATTTATACTTATAAATCAATTGTATATACACAAATCAGAGATGGGAATCTAGTTTTTATACCCTCCACCATACTATGGAGGGTATATTACTTTTGTCATTCCGTTTGTAACTCCTCGAAATACTCATGTCAAACCCAACAAAGTATATATATTCTTGATCAGAGTAAAATTCTAAGACGATTTAGCCATGTCCGTATGTCTGTTTGTCTGTCCGTATGTCTGTCTGTTGTAATCACGCTATCTTTCGAACGAATTGAGATAGAAGGCTAACGTTTTGCACACATATTTATTTTGCCAGTAGGCAGGTTATGTTCGTGAATGAGCCATATAGGTCCATGTTTTCATATATATATTGTCTATGCAGGTCCAGGTCTTCTTATAGGCCCCATATACCAGTACCTTCCTATATTCAGTATTTTGAGGATTTATGTACAATACTCACCGAAATTGTTTGAGGTGTCGTATTTGAAGTTGGTAATGTGACAGAAAATTGTCTATGCAGGTCCAGGTCTTCGTATAGCTCCGATATAACGGTACCCCCTATGTACGGTATTTTGATGATTTTAGCTACATTATTCACAGTTTATTTGAAGTTTCGAATTTAAATATGGTAATGGCTTGTGACAAACAATGCCTATGTAGGTGCGCGTCGTACAGAACCTAATATAATGGCTATATTCGGTGTTTTTAAGATGTTAGCAGAATTTTTGTCGAATGTTATCTTTTTCGAGAATTTCCAAATTTGTTCTAAATGGTGGAGGGTATTCCAAGTTCGGCCCGGAGGGTATTCCAAGTTCGGCCCGGTTTTCTTTATAAAAAGTTTTCATGTCACATGTTCATAGAACGAGAATGGAGGCTCAGTTTTTGAGGCCCACAAAACTACATTATTCACCGAATTAATATTGCTTAAATTCTCTTCGAACATTTTTTCTTGCATTCTTTTGTTAAGGTTCGACATTCCATTTTGCCAACAAATTTCCATATTATTATTTATAAAAAACAACGAATTTCCATACAAATTTTATAAATATGCAAAATTTGCTAAAGCTCTTAATTATCGTAATTGAAATAAATCGCATAAAATTTGTAATTAATTTAAAAACTTAATTGTTGGCAATGTTAAATGAGCTATAAAATCATTCAGCAAAAGTTTCGATTTCAATTTTCTATTTCTCATTTTTCGTTTTTGTTTCCATTGGTCCAATGGACGGGCAACGGACACCGTATTGTTGGCCGCCAAACAAAAAGAGAAGTGATTTTGTTTAGAAATCGATAAAGAAAGAAGCTGCCGGCGCACGCACAACAAGTGGACGACCTAGAGACCATTCTATCAGACAATGAGCCATCCGACCACCATGCCATAGACATGTCTTATGGTTTTCTATTTTTTAATTTTCTATTTTTGTATTTCTTCTACTTTTTTCCCATTTGAAAACTGAATGAGATGAGCCAGCTTCTTCATTCCATACCAAAACAAACAAACAAACAAAAGTGGCAACAAAAAAGTTGCAAAGCTGCAAGCCAGCAGCTCAAATGTGTCTGACCTACAAACAGGTTTTCGTCTTCGGAATTGTGAAGACGGTACTGCTCTCGGGCAACTGTATTTCCTAAACGATTTGTTGACAGGCCATGCCATTCCATCGATAATGATTTCAAAGGTGAATGAATAAAGAATGATTTATGACACACATTTGGCATGTTTCGATTTCGATACTGTGGTATTTCTAGAATATAATTTATGCAGTTTTACAAAATTTGACACTCAAATCGTAAATTATGACATAGAATTCAAAAAATGGCCTTATTAAGGTTTCTTGGTATGGATGCATGGCTAAACGGACGTACAAGCAAATTATGCTGTCTTTAAAAGCACGGTAGAAGAATACAGGCATGGTACAATAAGGAGGTAAAACATCTTCGTTAAACTACAGAAATACAGCCCGCTTCCATCAGAATTATTCAAAATTATA